AAATGACTAATAATATCTAGAAAATGTTAAATGTACACGTTAAGGCCCCTCTGAAAACACTGACAACATGTCACTTGTACATAGACAATGACAAGGGTTGCACCCTCGAGTGCTGGACTTCAAAATATTTTGACCCCATGACCTCCATCAATGAAGCTTTCAGGAAGACTTGACATCAACTTGGCTTTAAAAAAAAAGCCATTGGGGTCAAAAGGAAACCCGCCTAAATGCTTATTGTTAGTTACTAAATTGATACCCTGGCCTATTAAACACCACACAGACGCACAAGAGGACCAAAGGAATTGAATTATTGGTTTTAAGAACAGGTCACTGACAGTAACCATATGTGTATACTGCAGTATCAGGATGTCAATGCTAAACTTGAGTACTTGAGTAAGATCAATCAATGATGTGCTATCTTTGCAATTAAGATTGGAGGTAACAGATCTCTAACACTGTCTACCTCTTGGCCTGGTTGTACACTCTCTGAGACAGCTATTTGTTCGTCCAATAAAGTATGCAGAGGCCTTTATATCAAAACCTTAAAAGTGTGACAGAAATTACAATAACCACTTCACTGTCTTGTAAACTGTTAACTGTTGTTAAGGGTGCCAAGAGTGTTAAGCATGTGACGTCATAATGACATTTCAAAAACGGTGGCCTCTCTTTTGACCTCCACTAAAGAGGAGTAGCATTCTGTTTTCTGTTGTTTTGATCAGTGAAGGGTTGAAACTTAAGAAAATTTGTCAGCAAATGAAGGTCCAGTATGGTCCAGCAAGTGAATGAGTGAAGTAGGAATTGTTTTTTAAGTATCCAGAAACCATGAGTTGTAAACCCTTTGGCTCGGTACTATGGATATCGCAACCCATCGGCCTTGATTCCATTATAGGTACCATTAATCTGGAAGAAATGTGGCTTTTCTGCCTACCCCCGGGAGTGAACCCGGACCACAAGAAGTTTGTCACTCGACCGCCGCGAAAGTCAGGTTTAACCAACATCGCTAGAGAGCTGGCTAGGGGTCACAACTTGATTTGCCTGACTTGACTGTATATAGTCTGTCACAAAAGTCACGCAGTTCTGAAACCTCCTGCTCTACTCAAAACACTTGCTGAACCGACAGGCATGCATCTTCAAGTCAATGGCTACTGTAATATACATCCCACTTTCAAGATTTTCATGTGAAGCCCCATCATAGTAACTAAAATTATCATCATCATTCACTTCCACTTTTGTTGTTCATTGTCATGGGGAAAAAATAGTTTGTGATCAACTGCTTCAAGGGTAGTAAAACTGGCTACCATCAATCGATGTGGATGTAGAAAGTCCTTAATCACATCATTCCACATTTCGCTGTCGACCTCTTGTTTTCAATATGTATATAAATCAACAAGTTGATCTATACTGTTCTGTAAGATGGTCTTTTTTTCTTAAATGAGCATAGTGAAAATGTGTTTTGGCATTGTAATACAATATAATGGCAAGAAATGACATCAATGTACAAACAGTATACCTTATGCTTCTATGCGCGAGTTCTGAAGCTCCATTTAGTAAAAAAGGGTGGGGGGGGGGAACAATTGTTCTCTAACAAGCCTTAAGAAAAAATTTGACTACTTAAGTGTTTACTTAAATCGGATGTGTTGAGATGAAAGGTACAGATATCACAGCCTAATGTTACGCATTCTTTCCATATAGGTTGTTACCACATAATCCATAATTGGGCCGATAGGCAGTAAAATAGTTACATTGTGAGACAGATGACACCCCCCCCCCCCACATAATCCATAATTGGGCCGATAGGCAGTAAAATAGTTACATTGTGAGACAGATGACACCCCCCCCCCCCCCCCCCCCCCCCCCCCCCCCCCCCCCCCCCCCCACAGTAATTTTTGCTTTAAAAAAAATGCAATACGGTTTATTTCGTGGGACGTCTTTTTTCCAGACTTAAAAACAAAAACCAAAAATATATGGCAAATAAAATGAATTACTGGATTTAAAATGATAAAATATAACAGATGTATGGCAACGATACTGTTTGCAACAATTGTAATTGAAGAAAAAACAGATGTGGATTTCTTATATACGTCTGCACAGAAATTGCTGGCACCTTTCCATCTTTCCAGGCAATGTTAAACTGTGCTACAAGGGGGCATGGGACTCACAGCCCATGGCGATGGCGAGTGCAACTAGCAAGACCCGCTCACGTTAAGAGAAGTTCTGCACAATTATAGCATGGAATTTCAGGACCGCCCTCAGGACTGTGTTTGTTGTGCTTCTTCTCAGATGTTCAGCTCTCAACCTTTCTGTAATCATTTCCTGACTATCCTCCGAATAACGGTCCCAAATTATTGAGGCGGAAAATATACCCTGACAGGGCCTCAGTCACGTGTCAACTGCGCACTTCCGGGGACTACAACGCCACTGCTGAATTGCGAACTTAATTGGACTATACCGCCACCGCCGAAAGTATCCCCCCACCGCTCACGCGGCGTGAATTGGGGCTAAACTAGACGGCTAGGACTCACGAGCAAATAAAATGAAGGAAGCTGCAAGTGATGCGGTAGCTGCTGCTCTTGAGTCCCAGCCATCTAGTTTGGCCCCAATCAACGCCGCGTGAGCGGTGTGGGGGATACTCTCGGCGGTGACGGAAGTCATCGGAAGTGCGCAATTTAAGACCACGGAAGTGCATAATTGACACGTGACTGAGGCCCTGTTAGGGTATATTTTCCGCCTCGATAATTTGGGACCGTTATTCAAAGGATGGCCCATTTCCCCTATTCTCATTCTTTCCCCGATTTGCCCCATATATCCAACACGGTCCATGACATTTTGTTGCCACAAATCCACCTGAATACCTGTGTCATTCATGTCCTGCTTACACAGATCTTTGTGATGTAGTAGAGGCCAGCCTCTACATCTTCTACCCATTTGTAATTCATCACAGAGGATGGATGTCCTTAGGGACTCTACCAACCTACATTCTGGAGTTATGACCCTGCCCTGCGCCTTCGTAGACAGAGCATTAAGAAAACCATTGGAACACCTGTACAAAAAAAACAATCTGTCTTTAAAATGTCTGCACAGAAATAATCAGTTTGTAGACTGAGCACTTAGAAAACCATTTAACACCGGTAGAGAAAAAAAAAATAAGCCTTAAAAATATACGCACAGAAATAGTCAGTCCTAAAAAAAAATGTCTGCACAGGAACAATCAGCCTAACAAATTTAGAAGAAGAAGAAGTGGGTCTACCCCCACCCCCCGCCCCACCCCTCCCCTTTCCACAATACGGCGCTGTGTACAAAATAAAGAATTAAGTAGATATAGTAAAACTGCACTCAGCAATAAAACAAATTAACAACTCCGTACATGAAAAACACTGTATTTGTCTATACAGCTCACTCATCATAAACTTAAGACAGCACATAAACTTTAACGGGCATACCATAAATATCCTATAACTTATATAGACATAAACTTGTTTGGACATTACAATTTTATATAGACATACCATAAACTGATACAGACATACCACAAATTTATATACATTCAGTGAGCCATAGATGTATGCAGGCATATCATAATCTTAGACAGAAATATCATAAATTTATTTAGACGTTATAAACTTAGACATCATCATCATCATCAGTTGCCTTGCCGACTGGCGTGGTCAATCATACCTCTCCATAATCTGCGATCTCCTGCAGCATGTATCAGTTTGTGTGCCGACACACCTCCATGTCATGCAACAAGACTGTCAAGCATCTTCTCTCGTTGTCTTTCTCTATCCCTCCTTCCACAGATCTTTCCAGTGGTCACAACATGTTCTATTTTCCCTCTTCTCATAACATGGCCGAAAAATGATGACTGTCTCCTTCTGATGCCTGTGATAAATTGTCTTCGGGCCCCCGTCTCTTTCAAAACCTCCTGGTTGCTCTTTTTGGCTGTCCTAGGTATTCTAAGCATTCTTCTGTAAAAAAAAAAAAAATCTCTGAGGCCTCTAAAAATTGTTTGGCCTGCCTACCGATTGTCCAGGTATTCTAAGCATTCTTCTGTTAAAAAAAAAAAATCTCTGAGGCCTCTAAAAATTGTTTGGCCTGCCTACCGATTGTCCAGGTATTCTAAGCATTCTTCTGTTAAAAAAAAAAAATCTCTGAGGCCTCTAAAAATTGTTTGGCCTGCCTACCAATTGTCCAGGTATTCTAAGCATTCTTCTGTTAAAAAAAAAAAATCTCTGAGGCCTCTAAAAATTGTTTGGCCTGCCTACCGATTGTCCAGGTATTCTAAGCATTCTTCTGTTAAAAAAAAAAAATCTCTGAGGCCTCTAAAAATTGTTTGGCCTGCCTACCGATTGTCCAGGATTCACAGCAACTTAGACATATAACATAATAACATACCATAAATGTATACAGGCATAATATAGGCATTTAACAATTTATAAATTTGTATAATATCATATTTTACAAGAAAGACTTGTGCATTGAATTAAAACCCTGAAGATCAATCTACACCCTGTACAGTTCATCTACACCCAGTACCATAAATCTACACATTGTACCATTATTATACAACCTGTACAAGCAATCTACACCCTGCCCCAGAAATCTAACCCCCTGCATAATAAATCTACAACCTGTACAATCAATCTACACCCTGTACAATAAACTTACACTCTGTACAATAAATCTACACCATGTATCATAAATCTACAACCTGTACTATCACCCTGTACCATAAATCCACACCTTGTACAATCAACCTACACCCTGTACAATCAATCTACACCCTCAACATAAATATACAACCTGTACCACAAAGCTACCACCTGTACAATCAATCTACACCCTGTACAATAAACCTATACTCTGTACAACCAATCTACACCCTGCACCATAAATCTATACCCTGTATCACAAATCTACACCCTATACCATAATTCTACAACCTGTACAATCACACTGTACCACAAATCTCAACTTGTACAATAAACCTACAACTTGTACAATCAATCTATGCCCTGTACAGTGTAGTCACGAGGCACGTCAACCTCTTGTTCTAAGTAAACCTCTGGATTGACACCCTCATCCACCTCAAGTCTGTTGAACCTTCCTTTGATGAGGGCTATCATTGGTATACAGACCACAGTGAATCCAAACAATGCCCAGTTCATCCACATGGTACCTGCAAGCAATAAGCAAATCCATATTACACATACATTACTGCTGAATGATTTTGCTCAACAGTCCTTAAAAAGCAATACAGGGGCTTGTTAGCTGAAATGCTATAGAAAGATTTTAAGAATATACTGGAGATATTGATAGGCTGCATGCAGTCATGGGACCTAGGCTGCATTTAGTTGTGGGACCTAGGATGCACTCTCTCGTGGGACGTAGGTGAGTTGGGGTTAGGGCCAGTTCTAAATGTTTTGGGGTCGTTAAAAGCATCAGAAAGATGGAAAACCAAGTCTTACCACCTTCTAAAATGTTGGACTGTCCTGTGACCTCATCTGGGGGGTAAGATATTACGAAAGAATCCAATGTTCTACAAAAGACCAGCTACATGATAATGATGATGACATAGTTGATGCCCTTCTACCCTGGGGTGCGGAAGTCTGAATAGAGAGATCACCAGACTGAGCTATCAGTTGTTTTTGTTTTTGTTTTGTTCCATTCCAGTCCTCATTCAGATGATGTATTCTCACTGTTTCAAATAAATACTTCTTCTTTTCTCTAGAACAGTGCTTAGTAAGCTCTTCCTCTTGAGCCTAGGTTGGCTCATAGGAAGTCTTGTCTTATCCCTTCTGAGTGCATGAGCAATGAAGTTTCAACAGCACTTTCTTTAAAAACTGGGTACATTGTCTTGCTTGGTCTCTTGTCTTATCCCTTCTGAGTGCATGAGCAATGAAGTTTCAACAGCACTTTTTCATAAAACTGGGTACATTGTATTGCTCGGTCTCTTGTCTTATCCCTTCTGAGTGCATGAGCAATGAAGTTTCAACAGCACTTTTTTATAAAACTGGGTACATTGTATTGCTTGGTCTCTTGTCTTATCCCTTCTGAGTGCATGACAGATGAAGTTCCAGCAGCATTTTCTTATAAAACTGAATACATTGTCTTGCTTAGTCTCTTGTTTTATCCTTTCTGAGTGCATGACAGATGAAGTTCCAGCAGCACTTTCTTATAAAACTGAATACATTGTCTTGCTTGGTCTCTTGTCTTATTTGCATATTGAATCTGAAATTTGTCCAGGGGAGATTGAGTGTTCTTCTAAGACAAATGTTCACAAAATTGTCTAATTTTTTTTATCAAGAGCTACAGTAGCTTTCCAACTCTTGCATTCATAAGTTAGCACTGGACCCACACAAAAATTAGACAAACACAGTTACCATGTATCTGGAAAAAAAAAAATAGACCGGGCCAACATTCTCAATGCTCTCAAGGAGGCAGGACGAGAAGTCCAGTCAGCAGACGATGTTGAATCGACAACACTCAAAAGACTACAAGAACTTCAGGTCAAAAGTGGCATCGCCAAACATGAACACTATGCAAAGAAGAACAGTAAAGCAACAGAGAACTGGTGTTAATAGTCGCCACACGCTGACGGATATATTGAAGATGGGATCCGAGTGCTTATAGACTTGTCCGATGTGCAATGAGAATAATCTGTGGATTAATTAACTAATTAACTAACCAAATATACAAATTGTAAACAACTAATATATGAAATACAAATGTTTGGCCCACTACAAAGGACACTTACCAACATTTGGTACTGCAAACACTGCCAGATACACAAGACCCACAAAATTGTTTGTGAAAGTCAGAATACCATTTGCAGCTCCCTCACTGCAGGGGTAGGCTAGCTCACAAGCCACCTCAAAGATCATAGGTATTGCTACATTTATCAGCGTGGTCCCTCCAACAATTGTTGTATATAGTAGAGCTGAAACAAGCAATTCGAAAGTCTAATTAAATCCCTCCTCTCAATAGTTAGTTGTGTATCCTTTAAGAGGACACTGCAGAACTAATCGCAGCATTTTGTTTGTTTGTGTGTGTCAGTGTGTGTGTGCATGCGCGCGTGTGTGTGTGTGTGTGTGTGTGTGTGTGTGTGTGTGTGTGTGTGTGTGTGAGAGTGAGGGGGGCTGTTATGGTCTTTCGAGGGAAATTTTAAGTTCAATATTTTGCCATTGCTTTCTGAATGGTTAACTCTCAGTACTACTGTCAAAACCAATGCTAAGATTCAATCTGGCAATCACGCTCACAACGCCTCAGCCACAGTTGCCGACCCTCTCTATAGTACAAGACTTTCCTCTCACATTCTACACGGGTGGAATGTATCATCTAGAGATATTCTACAGGCTAGACGGAAATGTGATCTCTATCTGAGACATGGCAGCTAAACGATTTTGTGTACTCATGTTCATACTTGTGGCATCAGATTTATGTAACGTGCTGATGAAGGCTGTTTAGCTGCAGCATTCATGTCTTGTTTGTGTCTGTTATATTGTGAAGCTGACTGGTTCTTTTTTTTTAATTTGGTTTGATATCTTTTCAGGATAACTAAAACGATGAAGAGAAGGTTTTTTTTTGGGGGGGGGGGGGGGGGGGGGGGAGAGAGTTTGTTGTGCTTGTACTTAGTATTGATATTCTTCTCCATCTCAGAGCCCACCAGGTGTAAACTAGGGGGCACTATGCCAGAAAGTCCTCAATGTTCATCTACTTCTAGGCTTGGCTTTGGACCTGGACTTGGTTTCGCATGCAAACTCATTTTTAACATCTGGATTCGTATCTACTTCTCCATCTTTGCTCACTGGCTGTAAGCTCCGGTGGAAAGTCCTGGTTGCTCGTCCATTTGGACTTTGGCTTTGTGCCAGGGCCTGAGTTTTGCGTGTATATCCGTTTTACTGACTTATTTGTGTGCAGCTGGTTGTTCCTTGCTTCTTGGGCAGATGCACTCTGACTTTGAAGGAAGCCCTTAATTAGTCCAACTCCTAGGCTATGTTTGCTGGGAAGGCAGTGGATCTATTCTTGTGTTTCCCATAATGTGTGTGTCTGCATGTGTGTGCGTGTGTGGGGGGGGGGAGGGGAGGAGAGGGGTTAATATTTGCAGAACGCAACACAATATACATTCTGGCCTCTCGAAAATAAAGACTTCATAAAAATATTACTAGCTAGAAGACAAAATACTACACATTCTGGCCTCTCAAAAAGAAAGATTTCATAAAATGATTACTAGCTAGAAGACAAAATACTACACATTCTGACCTCCTATCCAGTCACACTGAATAAAAAAATAAGAAAAAATACATAAAATTCTGACTGTTTATTCCTGACGGTTTAATAACTGCCCAGCATTCACCGGCTGTAAACTATGGTTTAATAACTGCCCAGCATTCACCGGCTGTAAACTATGGTTTAATAACTACCCAGCATTCACCGGCTGTAAACTATGGTTTAATAACTACCCAGCATTCACCGGCTGTAAACTATGGTTTAATAACTACCCAGCATTCACCGGCTGTAAACTATGGTTTAATAACTACCCAGCATTCACCGGCTGTAAACTATGGTTTAATAACTACCCAGCATTCACCGGCTGTAAACTATGGTTTAATAACTTCCCAGCATTAACCAGCTGTAAACTATGGTTTAATAACTACCCAGCATTCACCGGCTGTAAACTATGGTTTAATAACTACCCAGCATTCACCGGCTGTAAACTATGGTTTAATAACTACCCAGCATTCACCGGCTGTAAACTATGGTTTAATAACTTCCCAGCATTAACCAGCTGTAAACTATGGTTTAATAACTACCCAGCATTCACCGGCTGTAAACTATGGTTTAATAACTTCCCAGCATTAACCAGCTGTAAACTATGGCGGACTGTTCTGGTTGTTCGTACACTTCTGGACTTTAATCTGGTCTCAGAAAATCAGCTTTGTGTGCACATCCATTTTACAGAACTGGCTTACATGTAAGCAGACTGCTGGTACCTCTCCTCTCAGGCAGATGGACTCCAACTTTGACAAGAAAACCCCTAATTAGTCACCTCACCTTATACGACATATTTGTTAAGAGCAACACAACTTCAGGCTAACTTGGCATGTAGGGCTAGACCTAAATTTAATAGACCAATTTGCACTCGGTGGGTGAAGCGGTCAAAATCACACTGAATGCCTTTACCTTCCAGGACTATACCTGGTACCTAAAAGCCAAGGTCATATTTACAAAAAAGTCTGGAACCCACAACTTTCCAATACCCAGGCCAGTATCTAGCCGCTACACAACGGCAGCTCCCTATTTGTTTAGAGTGCGGTAGATCTATCCTTTTTCTCCCAAGAATGGCATCCCAGAACCCAGAAAGAAAGTTGTATTATAAAAGCTAACCAAATAAAACAAAAACCTACCTCTGGAGTATGGAATAATACCAATGAGCATCAATGGCAATGTCAGGAAACAGGTGGCGCCAAGAACATAAATTATCAATATGAACAGTTTCATTCTGCGGGCAAATGCATCTGCAAACCTGCAATAAAACAACACAGTTCTTAAAACTCCGTCAGCTCTTATTTTTTTCTTCCTAATGTTCGTTATCTGTATACCCTGACAGAAAGTTCTGGTTATTCGTCTACTTCTGGACTTTTGTTTTATTCCAGAACTCGAGTTTTGAGAGCGCATTAAGTTTTACAAATCTGGCTTATTTGTATGCAGGCTGTTGGTTCTTCACCTCTTAGGCAAATGCACTGACTTCAAAAGAAAAACCAAATAGTCGCCTTTATAAAACACTGTTGTAACGGGCCAGCGAGTCTATTCCCCCCACCCCATGGGGCCCGGGAAACTCTTGCAGTGAGTTCCATCAGCAAAATTTTAAACTACAAAATGAGTATTTTAAATAAAGCCGAGCAAGTGATAGCCAAATGGCACCCATTTTGAAATGCAAGCATTTTAATATGAACACTAAAAGAACAGTGTTAAACACAATATTCTTACCAACCTTTTGCCATCAATGTCAAATATAGATACTATCTTCAGAAGACAGAAGGAAAACAATCACAACAGACATGAAATGTTTACATACTATGCTAGGTGTAATGAGGAAAGATTGTCTTAGAAATGATGATATCAGAAGAAGAGACAGCACAGAACCAATACTGAACTTTATAGGTCGACAACAAATCAAATGGTTTGGCCATGTAACAAGATTGGCATCAGAAGGGGCACCACAGAGAGCAATTTTATACAAGTACAATGGTAACAGAGCCAGAGGTCAACCACGCAGGATATAGACCGCAGAAATATCATAGACATTGAAAAGTACTTTATACAAATTGAACAGAAGGGCCCGTTCCAGAGATCTCTTCCTGCCCCGAGGTATTCCAGGAGTTGAGAAAAGAAGGAAAAAAAGAAAGGCAGAAGTTAACTTATAAAGACAATTCATTACGAACATGACAAAAAAGGCGGTCAACATCTTTTGGCAACATACTGAGAACACACAAATAGGAAGATGATGTGATTAAAGGACTGATATGTAGAAGAAGCGAGGACAACAAGTACAGATACCTGACAGCCCTTTGTTATGGCATGGACAAGTGTCAGCACATGAACTGAAATGTAGAAGAAGTGAAGACAATGAGTACAGATACCTGACAGCCCTTTGTTATGGCATGGACAAGTGTCAGCACATGAACTGAGATGTAGAAGAAGTGAAGACAATGAGTACAGATACCTTACAGCCCTTTGTTAAGGCATGGACAAGTGTCAGCACATGAACTGATATGTGCTGATAGATACTGCAAGATGTGCAGAAGCATGAATGCCCATGCCAGTTAGCAAAGCACTTGATGCTGATGATTCTACACCAAGGTTAAACAGCCAATTTGAATCATCATTTAAACTCAAATTCTGTAGCATATGCTAAACAGGCACTCTGTATCATATGCTAAACAACCGCTATGTATCATATGCTAAACAGCCATTTTGAATATGTTAAACAGTCATGCTGTTTCAAATGCTAAATAACCACTCTGTATCACATGCTAAACAAACACTCTGTATCACATGCTAAACAAACACTCTGTATCACTTGCTAATTAGCCACTCCGTATCATATGCTAAATAACCCCTCTGTATCATATGCTAAACAAACCCTCTGTATCATATGCTAAGCAAACACTCTGTATCACATGCTAAACAGCCACTCCGTATCATATGCTAAATAACCACTTGTTATTAGATGTTAACCACTTTGTATCATATGTTAAACAGATGTTAAACAACCACTTTGTATCATGTGTTAAACAGACACTTTGTATCACATGCTAAACAGCCACTCCGTATCATATGCTAAATAACCCCTCTGTATCATATGCTAAACAAACACTCTGTATCACATGCTAAACAGCCACTCCGTATCATATGCTAAATAACCGCTTGGTATTAGATGTTAAACAACCACTTTGTATCATATGTTAAACAGTTGTTAAACAACCACTTTGTATCATATGTTAAACAGACACTTTGTATCATATGCTAAACAATCATACGGTTTTATATGCCAAATAACTACTGTGTATCATATATTAAACAAGCATTCAGTATGAAATGTTAAACAGTCACTTTGTATCACATGTTGAACAGCCACTCTGTATCATATGCTAAATAACCACTTGGTATTAGATGTTAAACAACCACTTTGTATCATATGTTAAACAGATGTTAAACAACCACTTTGTATCACTTGTTAAACAGACACTTTGTATCATATGCTAAACAATCATACTGTTTTATATGCCAAAAAACTGCTGTGTATCATATATTAAACAAGCATTCAGTATGAAATGTTAAACAGTCACTTTGTAACATATGTTGAACATCCACTCTGAATCATATGTTAAACAGTTATACTGTATCATATGCTAAATAACCACTCTGTATCATATGCTCAACAGCCACTCTGTATCATATGTTAAACAGCCATACTGTATCATATGTTAAACAGTCATTGTGTATCATATGCTAAAAATCACTCACTCTGTATCATATGCTAAACAGACACACTGTATCATATATTAAAGTCACTATGTGCCATATGTTAAACAGCCACACTATATCATATGCTTAACAGTCATACTGTATAATATGCTAAACAGCCACTCTGTATCATACGCTAGACAGTCCCTCTGTACCATTACAAGAAGCAGCCACTCTGCTCAAACTTTAGACCACACTCTGTACCACCAGGATTGTCTTACCTCATGATAAACAAAGGAGCAACACAGCCACCAACTATAGAATGAAAGCCAATCCACCCAGCTTCACTCTGAAATTGAAAATTCAAATATGTGTGATAGGGACTGAATGAATGAATTTGACATCCCTGCACTTGAGACATTCCCACACATGCTCCATCTTCTTCTTCAGTAGCCAATGAAGAGTCGATATGTTAACTGTACCAGTTGCAAACGGACTGAAAGTTCGCCTATGTTTTCCCCTCAGTGTTGAGTATCTTCCAGATCATTTGACCCCCCCCCCCCCCCCCCCCCCCACACAGCTGAATTAGTCGATCAATGTAATGTATGGATGCTCTGTCTGTTGTGCTGCACTGTCCAGTTGATCCCAGAGTCTTTACCACATCCGCTTTGTCATAAAGTAGCTCACCACCCAGAGGAGCCACAGCAGTCAATCTAACAGCATGCTCATTACCCTGCACACCTGAATATGACAGACAGGCAGGCAACCAGAAACAATATCACTAAAAGTCAATTACAAAGAGATAAAACAAACTGTGATAACGTAACATTGGTATCCCACTTTCTCTCAACCCCCTCCCCCACAAAAGATTCTAATTAACCAAGGGACTCTACTCACCTCTGACACTTTATGTAGAGGTCTCAGGTTGAGGTTGAGCACACTGCCCCAGCTTGTCAACACACCAACAGACAGACCGTATGTAATGGCTATCACTTGATAATAGCCCTTCCTGTAATACAAGGACACATTTTTTACAATTTTAGTATTACTAATCATTTACAATTTTAGTATTATTAATCATTTACAATTTTAGTATTATTAATCATTTACAATTTTAGTTTAATTCAGCATTTACAATTTTAGTATTATTAATCATTTACAATTTTAGTATTATTAATCATTTACAATTTTAGTATTATTAATCCTTTACAATTTTAGTATTATTAATCATTTACAATTTTAGTATTATTAATCATTTACAATTTTAGTATTATTAATCATTTACAATTTTAGTATTATTAATCATTTGCAATTTTTGTATAATTAATCATTTAAAATCTGTGTATTATTAATCATTTACAATTTTAGTATTATTAATCATTTACAATTTTTGTATTAATAATCATTTACAATTTTAGTATTATTAATCATTTACAATTTTAGTATTATTAATCATTTACAATTTTAGTATTATTAATCATTTGCAATTTTTGTATTATTAATCATTTAAAATCTGTGAATTATTAATCATTTACAATTTTAGTATTATTAATCATTTACAATTTTAGTATTATTAATCATTTACAATTTTAGTATTATTTATTATTTATAATTTTAGTATTATTCAGATGACACTTTTCACATCACTGCTGCAACAGGCTTATGGTACAATGCTTAAAATTTTATAGAACAATTGTACAGAACAATTTTATAGAACAATCGTACAAAACATTTTGATAGAACAATTTTATAGAACAATCATTCAGAACAATCAGCAATTAACCGTGTTGCCCCATGAATACTAAAACAATCCGTAATGACCCCATAGGAATTACTAATGAAAATCATCACACACAGGTTGACACAGGTACTTAATTAATTGATTTTTGTATTTTATTTTAATTATCTAGTATTGATAATGTAAGCAAACAAATTAAGAAGAGTTTGGAGCCAACTAATCAGCAAACATGAATGGCGTGAAGCATGAAATGGAATACATTCCCTTGAGGCTTTAAACCAATCTGTATCAGGTGACTCATGCTGTGATACCCTGACCTTTATCACTGAGGCTTACAGGAAAATCCGATGTCAACTTAGCTTTAGAAAATCTATCTTTCACCGAAAAACACCCCTAATGCTTTTTTTTTTTAAAAGTCCTAATGTATTCACAGTCTAACCTAAACATTTGTGCAGGCATGAACACAGCCAATAGCATTTAACTAAGTGTCATGTAAACACGTAACTGTAGCTAAGTCGGAAAAGTGACATTTACGAGGAATTGGATCTGAGTGGAAGTGCTGGTTTTGTTTCTTCTCAGGGCAGCATGGTTAATGGATGGTGTAGTCAATATCATGATTACACAGCATTAAAAGTATGGTCAAGCACCAGCAGGAAATCAAAGTTACACTTTTAGAGCATGCATCTTCCCTGTAGCAACATATCCCAGTCCTTAAGAAATCAAATAGGGGCTTTTGAGCTGAAATCTTACAGACAAATTCTCAGAAAACCATGGACAAAATGCCAAAATGGACGTCTTTAAGTTAAAAACATAAAAATTATAACCACCATCTTTACTGCAGTAAGTACAAGTTTTTTAGGGTGAGGTAGAACCAAGAGGTCTTCACCATGAGGTTTTAGCCCTAATAAGCCTTCAAAACCAACACTTCTGGCTGGGTCTATTTCCCTGTAAATGTCACTTTTCCAGACGTGTCTACAGTAGACTGTTTATGAGATGTACAGTTAATGCTACTGGCTGTTTTTGTGCCTGCACAAACAAGTAGGTCAGGACATGAATACATTGATTAACAACAGCAATTAAGGGGGATTTCCTTTAAGCTAAATGGCTTTGTTAAAACCAGGAGACTTCAGAGTGTCCTGTAAGCCTTAGTGACAGAGGTCATAGGGTCACCGCATGAGTTACCTAATACATGTGTTGTTTTGGGGGGCCGCGTTAGCAGTCAATAAAAAGCTCGCTTTCAAATCCAGCTGCGACTAGCTGCAGCCCACGGTCGGTGTTCGAAACCTGGCGGCTCCCGGGGTTCACCCAGCCTCTAGGAAATGGGTACCAGAGTTGGCACTCTGGGGTAAATGGAGAAATGTCGCTGTAGCTACAGAGTTACGTGTGAACGGCAACACAGGAGGACAGTTCTTATCAGCTGTCCGTACTGGTGGTAGAGCACTAATGGTTTATAACCGTGTGCAATGACACTGGTTCACATCTCCCAACTTTACCTTTTTTTGGCCCAGAGGGAAGTTTTCAATTGAATGCTTAACCCTGTTTGTGTTTATTGATTACTGCTTTCATTTATCTTTATATATTTGGAAAACACATTTTTAAAATGTAGATAAATCTTAATTTTAATGAATTTGTTAGTGTCTTGTGTGAAAACAACAAGATCTAGCAGCAGCAAAAACAACCCAAAAAAAAAATTTTTTTAAGAGAGATTTTTTCTGCAATACTTATCTGTTTTCTTTTAGTGTTCCTGGAGCAAAACGTTATGGGCTCATAGCTAGTGGTCCTGTCATGAACTGTGCAGGTTAGGATGTTAACTGTTGCCAAAAGAAATCATCACCTTAACTAGGAATTGACCCAGGGGCTCCTATATGGCAGTCTAGGAATCTAACCCCTTGACAAGACGCTTCCCTCTAAAAACAAGCATTTATAAATAACAAGTCTCAATTTCTTACTTCCTCAACGACCATAAGCCAGGCCAGTATTCACTTCGCTCCAAGGCTGCAGACACACAAGGCGGATGTTTGGGTTTTGCAGGGAAGTAGATCAAGATGGCCAGAAATAACAAAACTGACCAGGCACATTCTGCGCACAAATAATATATACCACATTAGTAACGTATTTATAAACAAGCTGGAAAATTGCAGGGACTCAATATCAATGGGAAAATAATAACATTTATAAACAAATCAGAGCATTGTCCTAACCGAATATCAATGAGAGAATAGGACTATTTTTAATCAAGTTGAAGTGTGGCTGGACTGCATATCAAGGGAAGAATGATAATATTTATAAACTAGTTGCAGCACTGGCTGGACTGCATATCAGTGGAAGAATGATAACATTTATAAACTAGTTGAAGTGTGGCTGGACTGCACATCAGTGGAAGAATGATAACATTTATAAACAAGTTGAAGTGTGGCTGGACTGCACATCAGTGGAAAAATGATAACATTTATAAACTAGTTGAAGTGTGGCTGGACTGCATATCAAGGGAAGAATGATAACATTTATAAACTAGTTGCAGCACTGGCTGGACTGCATATCAGTGGAAGAATGATAACATTTATAAACTAGTTGCAGCACTGCCTGGACTGCACATCAGTGGAAGAAGGATAACATTTATAAACTAGTTGCAGCACTGCCTGGACTGCATATCAAGGGAAGAATGATAACATTTATAAACTAGATGAAGTGTGGCTGGACTGCACATCAGTGGAAGAATGATAACATTTATAAACAAGTTGAAGTGTGGCTGGACTGCATATCAAGGGAAGAATGATAACATTTATAAACAAAAACAAACAAAAAAACAGTGAAAGAATCAAATAAAAGTGTTTATAACAAGCTGTAGAACTGCCTGAACTGACTATCGATGGAAGAACAAAAAATAATCTCCAATATGCTAATGACACAGTTTTACTAACACAAACAAGACATACTGTACCATGTATACAGATGCAGTGCAGGGTATGGAAAACCCTTTGACCTTTGAATGCAATCTTTTTTTCTTTTTGTTGTTGTTGCAATTCTATAAATTATAATAAGCTCTTCATTATGACTATAAACATGTATGGGGTCTATGGGGTCCTTTGAAGATGAGAAGAGTCTGCATGTTTTAGCTAACCAGGAACCACTGGTTTAGACACCAATATATATATATATAGATATTTCTTAAAAAAATTATTATGATAATGCTTTGGCTCCCATGTTGATCTAGCCATAAAAGGGTACTAGGTGGAGTCCTGGGAAGGAAAGGCGGGCTGGCGTTATACTGACACCGAGTGCCGATTGGTCTAGAAAATATAGGTCTAGGTTTATATGCCAAATAAGCCCGAAGGCGTGAAAAGGGTCCTTTACTTTCTGCTCACTTATTATAATGGAAAGCAGCGACCAACAGTGAACATCATATTACGTGCAGAGATGTTGCAACAAGTGAATACAAATTTTGTTTTGTTTTTTTAAATATCCTAGAATGGAGGTGGAGGCATTTCACTGCAGCCTTCTGCTGGCTTCAGAATCACCCGAACACACATGTCATAATTGTAACCGACTCACAGATCATGTTGAGAAAGGTGGAGACTGGTCCGCTCCAAGAATAATGGCAAGCATCGCTTCAGAGGTCCCGGTGTATGAGGAAATGAACAGTCAGACAGATTGACTGGTTCTGCACCAGTTAGGGGTGAGCTGAAGCCTGCCAAGCTAGATGTTGTGAGGGCCCTTTGGGAGAGAGTAAACAGTTCGGAGGCACAAACAGATCATTATGGTCTCAGGAGAAGGGTGCTGCAAGGAGTGGCAAGGAGATCTAGCTGGTGCTCAACACTAAAGGAAAGGGCGAGACGGATTTAAAATCAGACTGCTACTGGAACTCTGCGCTTGCTACTGAAGATGGGGATGGAGTGTTTATGGGAATGTGCCCAGTGCTGTGATGTTAACTGTTCATCTTACATCCAACATTCATCTATAATTTTTTTTTTTAAATCTCTAATGGAAAGGAACGATCAACAATGAAAAATATATCAGGTGGAGAGAGATGTTCGAACAGGCAAGAAGTGGTGCTTTTAATTTTGTAGACATGGAATAACAGATTGTGGAGAGGTGAAGGCTAAAACTATCTCCAAAACTATCTCTAACTAAGTTTGACAATTATTGACAACCAGAGAGATAAACAACAGATTAAGAATGTAAACTGTCACATGTTATGTAAACTCAGCCCTACTGTATGGTGCAGACTCATGGGCGATGAACAAGATACACTAACAAAATCCCACATACAATAAAAGACAAAGTTGTTTGCTGCCCAACTTACCATAATACATGTAAAGCATCACTGAAGCTCTTTCCTCATGTTTTCTTGCATCTACAGTAGAATACAGATATCACATTAACACACGTCTTGTTTGGCACCGTTCCATCTTTCCAGAAGATAGTGTTATATTGCGCTATGAGGAGGCATGGGACTCACAGCCCATGGCGATGGCGAGTGTTACTAGCAAGACCCGCCAGTGTCAAGAAAAGTCTTCTACAATTATAGCATGGGATTTCAGAACCGTTGATGTAAACATTTGTGTTTAGTCTGTTTCTTCTCAGACAACATGTGTCAGATAGGGCTTGGAGTCCATTCTGTCCTGTGCAACAACTTCCAGTAGCAGTCTGATTTTAAATCTGTCTCGCCCTTTCCTTGAGTATTGAGCACCAGCTAGATCCCCTTGCCACTCCTTGCAGCGCCCTTCTCCTGAGACCTTAATGATCTGTTTGTGCCTCCGCACTGTTCACTCTCTCCCAAAGGACCCTCACAACATCTAGCTTGCCATGCTTCAGCTCACCCCTAACTTGTGCAGAACCAGTCAGTCTGTCTGACTGTTCATTTCCTCATACACCGGACCTCTGAAGCGATGCTTACCATTATTAAAATTACCTTTATCTTCTATCAACTTCTCACATCAACATTAACCTTAGGCTTTCTTGTGGATGTCCTCGTTTCCTCAATCTATCTATTTCTCATTATGTTATCATACAAAGGGTGTGCAAACCTGCTTTGCACTATAGTATGAAGAAGTCACTGGCATATTTGGAAACTGGTGTGCAAATTTGGTCTTTCAACTTCACTGCACAGGGTTTAATCTCATAGGACTCACTCTCTCTGCAGAACTGCTAGCTATCATCTGAGAGTGTGTTTGTGTATAAACCAAAAACACAGCTCCCCAAAATGTGACAATTCCCAGATGGGTCTATAAAAAGAACTGCACCTGTGAACTGATCGACCACCCATGAAAGAAACTCATGGCTTTTAGACCTACAAAGGCCTTCCAACTTCTATATCTAGTCACTCCTCAATGCAATATGTAAGTATCCTTATCAACATTGGGTAAGCAACACCAAGCATGGACATTAACCATCAAAGGGGAAAAAATATCAAAACAAAATAAATGTCTTTAATGAATCCTAATGTAACTAAAAGAGAGGAGATCAGAAATGACGATATCAGGAAAAAGTTTCAACGGAACCAGTACAAAACTACATCAATGGACAAGAGATCAAATGGTCTGGATACATGACAAGACTAATAACAGACTGCAGTCTTGTCTTTTCTGTATTAAGAATCATCAAGATTTTCTCCCGACCATGATGACACCTATTCACTCTTTGATATCCTTTACCCAAAGTACCCTGACCATATCTATCACTTCACCATAAGAAGTTGAGAATCTGCCAGTCAAACTGCCTATTTATTTCCTAAACACACCAACACATGATCCGCATAAAAGATCCAAAGGACACTCACTACCCATTGAAAAACAATGAGTTAATGTACCACCTGCCTCGTCCCTCCCCGGCAAAACAAATAGGGATAATGAACCATCCACAGAGTCAACAGGCAGACACAGGCATCAGTCTAAATGCAAAAAAATCACAGCTTTAATGCAACACCCAGGAAACTTAACATGGGCAACAAAAGCGCGATAAAGTCAGATTTAATGGACAAAAGGCGTAAATTACACAGCTAGGCTGCAATCAGGCACAATATAATTATGGCATCGGAAGAACGATGAAGGAAAAGATACAAAATAAACAAACATCTTCCTTAAAGCTAACAAGGTTGAGATAAGAAACTGTTAGCAAATGAAGCAAAGTGGCAACTAACCTGTAACATTGGGAGACTCAGTGATTCTGAAACAGAGAAAAGGCAAACATTATAAATATAACACACTGTGGTTCCATTAGTCTTATCACTTACAAATCATACTGAGAAAGATGGAGAGGGGACAAAACAGTACAATAAAACAGACATGGACAGATCTATCAACGAAGACACACATGAAAATAAAAAAAGCAGAGTAGGGCAGACACACATTACGGAATGCATTTATCAGAAATCTTCATAACCAGGAGTAGATTATATAAACGATGATAATGATGATAGTGATGATGATGATGGTACTGATGATGATAATGCTGATGATTATTTAATGTTCAAGATGATAATGATGATAATTCTTATGATAATGACATTGATAATGATGATGTTGAAGTTGATAATGCTGATGATGATGTTTATTTCATGATGATAATGATGGTGATGATATTGATTATGATAAGGCTGATAATGCTGCTTATTTAATTTTCATTATAATATGATGATGATGATGATGACGGTGATGCTGCTGACGATAATGATGATGCTATTGTTGATGACACTGCTGACAATGATGATGATGATGATCATGATGATGAGGATTATGATGATAATGATGATGTTTATGATGATGCCACTGAGGATGATGATGACAATGATGATGACAGGGATGATGATATTACTGATGATGTTATTGACAATGCAGATGATGAAGTTGATGTTTATGATGATGATGCTGATGACGATGCTGCATAGCATAGTCTAGTTTTGTGTACATGCATTGGGAGATGGAAGAAAAGGCTGGTGGGTGCACCATATCAACAAAAGATGACAGCTCTTGGAAACTTACAAAAAGCTGGGCGTAGTTCCATTCATAGTCTCATTGTTGCTCAGATCTGGTGGGCCTCCAGACACAAAATATGGACCTGCAACCAATCAAACATGATTGTGTTCACTGAAAATGTTGCTGATTCATGCAACTAAAAATACATTACATACAGGAATAACAAGTTAGAATTCACATAATCAAACATACATTCCACACAGGAATAAAAAGTTATAATTCACACAATCAAACATATATTACACACAGGAATAAAAAGTTATAATTCCCACAATCAAACATACATTACACACAGGAATAAAAAGTTATAATTCCCACAATCAAACATACATTACACACAAGAATAACAAGTTATAATTCCCACAATCAAACATATATTACACACAGGAAACTAGAAAATCGAACTAAGTCTCCGAAGATGTGGGTACACAGAAGAATAGGTCGTATTTCACAGAGACAAAAACAGTCCAATACAGAGGTTGTGGAAAGGCTACAAATGAAAAAAGAATAAATTCAAAAAAAGAGACAATTGAAATATTATAGCCACATTAAAAGATATATCACACTTTTAAAACCATACTGGAAGAAAGGTCGAAGTCAAGATAGCAAGAGGTAGGCAACGATACAAGTGGCAGGACAACATCAAAAGATTGACGGGCAGCAGTTTCAGAGAGTGTACAACCAGGACCGGAGACAGTGTGTGTTGAAGATCCACCAAACATTTTATACATTGATAAAAAGTTATAACTCACACAAATCAAATACACATTACATACAGTGACAAAATGTTATAATTCACACAACAAAACATACATTACATACAGCGATAAAAAGTTATAATATACACACTAAAACATATATTACATACAGTGACAAAAAGTTATAATTCAGACAATGAAACATACATTACATACAGTGAAAAAGTTATAATATACACACTAAAACATATATTACATACAGTGACAAAAAGTTATAATTCAGACAATGAAACATACATTACACACAGAGATAAAAAGTTATAATATACACACTAAAACAGTTATTACAGTGACAAAAAGTTATAATTCAGACAATGAAACACATTACATACAGTGAAAAGGTTATAATATACACACTAAAACATATATTACATACAGTGACAAAAAGTTATAATTCAGACAATGAAACATACATTACAGACAGAGATAAAAAGTTATAATATACACACTAAAACATATATTACTTACAGTGACAAAAAGTTATAATTCAGACAATGACACATACATTACATACAGTGAAAAAGTTATAATATACACACTAAAACATATATTACATACAGTGACAAAAAGTTATAATTCAGACAATGAAACATACATTACATACAGTTAAAAAGTTATAATATACACACTAAAACATATATTACATAGTGACAAAAAGTTATAATTCAGACAATGAAACATACATTACACACAGAGATAAAAAGTTATAATATACACACTAAAACATATATTTCATACAGTGACAAAAAGTTATAATTCAGACAATGAAACATACATTACATACAGTGAAAAAGTTATAATATACACACTAAAACATATTACATACAGTGACAAAAAGTTATAATTCAGACAATAAAACATACATTACACACAGTGAAAAAAGTTATAATTTACACATCAAAACATGTACTACATATAGTGACAAAAAGTTTTAATTCACAAAACGAAATATACATCACATACAGTGATAAACCAGGCTGATTCAGATAACCAAATATACATCACATATAGTGACAAATCATACTGATTCACATCAAAACATATACATTACATATAGTCACAAATTATGTTGATTCACAAAAGACATGTACTCTCAACTCTGTAGCTGGGCGACAAAACCATATCCTTTCAGTCTACATATGGAGGAAACTGCAATGGCCAACTACTATCAGAAGCAAAAACTTGCCATGACTAAAAATAGCAAACCTGCTTATCCTCCATACTGACAAAATGCTGAACTTTAATCATAAACAAGCAGAGTTGTTGAAGACAAACAATTATGAACACAGATGATCATGTATAAAACATCCATGAACAAAAACAAACATGAAAAAGTACAACCTGAACAAGAGCAAACATGTACAAGAACAACATGTACAAGTACAAATATTAACAAGAACAAACATGTACAACTACAAGCTTGAACAAGAAAAAAAATGTACAAATACTATCATGAACAAAAATACACATGTAAAAGAACAACACGTACAAGTACAAACATTAACAAGAACAAATATGTACAAGTACAATCTTGAACAAGAACAAACATGTACTAATGCAATCATCAACAAGGAGAAGCATGAATGAATCTACAAAGAGCTAGACATGAGTTAGTTTGCTCCACTCCACTATAAAATGAGCCAGCAACTGGATAAGACATTAAGAACTTGCATTGTAATTCTGAAGTGCCGAGCTCAACCTTCAGCTGCAGGTGATTTGGCAGCAGATAACTTCTGTGTTGGTTTCAACAGTGACATCTAGAGATGATTGTTCAGACAGCAATGGCAAACTTCTTCTTCTTTAAGTCCATGCTGTGTGGCATTGGTAGTAATGTCTATCTCCAACCTTCTGTCTCGTGTACTTTCAATCAACTCTGACAGAGATGATAATCCATGCCATGATGTCAAACTTTCCAGCATCTTTTCTCTCGGTCTCCCTCTGCCTCTCCTCCCCTCCACCTTTCCCACTGTCACAATGTACCCCAGCTTTCTCCTTCTCATCACATGACCAAAAAATGCAGACTGTCTCTTTCTGATGTGGGCAATCAGTTCTCTTTGTGAGACAGTTTCTTTCAAGACGTCCTTATTATTCTTTTTATCTGTCCAGGGTATTCTCATCATTCGTCTAAAAAATCCCATCTCCAAAGCTTCCAAATAATTTTTTTCACTAATCTACCAACTGTCCATGATTCACTTCCATAGATCACGAAAGGATCTATAAAGCTCCTAAGAATTCTCTTTCTCGTCTAATTTGACAAAGAAAGATTTCAGAAAATCTTTATTTTGTAAAAATGCTGCCTTTTCTTGAGCTATTCTACATTTAAATTATTTAAAACATTTTCCATCTGATGTTATCAGGTATCCAAGTACTTAAACATATTAACTTGCTTGAGGTTTGTACCGTTTACTTTGATGTTGCATTTTGGAGAGTCAGTTTTCTTTGTAATTGCCATTACTTCTGTTTTTCTGCTGCTCAAACTAAGACCCTTGTTGGCAAACATCATCATCAAGTGCCTTGCTAGCTAGTGTAGGCTTCAAAGCAACTCCTCAGATCTCGGTCTCTGGTGTTCTGGATCAGTCCCACAATTAACAGTGCCAGTTGTGTGCTGGTTAACAAGACTTCTTGTACATCTGGTGTGCCTCTCATGCTTGGCTGTGCCGATATTCACTCCCAATTGTCACAGTTTAGATTTCCCCTTCAGCAAACAACTGAACGTTAAATTGCCTTGTAAAACCAAACAGCCAACAACAACAAAATTCCTAGAGCTGATTCTACAATGTCCTGTAAAGTAGTGTTTCAGAACCTGTATATACCCTCAGTCCAAACAGAAAACAGCATAAATGTGCTTAGTATCTTATTTGTGAAATCCAATGCCAGAAAATTATAATTTCCAGCTACAGCAACATATGTTGCAACTTAGAGATTAGACAATCTTATATATGTTGCCAGAGTGTTGTTTCTGATAGACAAAGTGCTGCAAAAACATCCACTCAGTTTCTCTGCTTGGTCTTTTATTACTGACGTCAGAGAAAGTCTTTTCAAATGAGTAGGAAATCTCTGGAGTGTTAATCCTACAGACTGGAAGAGATATACCACCTAACATACCTCTGGGAACTATCTTCCACAACAAATCAAAAAGATCACTAGTCCCTATACATACAATCAGTAACTGAGTATTATCTGAGCCGAGATTACATGCCCCCATAGAAGATGAACATTTTAAAAATAGTACATATCTCCCCAAGATTTATTACAACTTCTATGGTTTACTGAAGTGCACAAATTAAGAAGAATTTGGGAGCAACTGAGATGTGGTTTTTGAGACGAATGTTACAAATACTTTGGATGGCCAAAGTAACCAACAATGATTGCCTGAAAGAAGCTAATGAAAGTAGATCTCTATATACATCAATAAGAAAGAGACAGACAAACACTGTTCTTAGGCCACATAATGAGAAGAGAGACATTGGAGAACATCGTGACAAGTGGAAATATCAGTGGAAAAAGGGGTAGAGGCAGACCAAGAGAGATGATGCTGGATGGGCTGAAACAATGGCATGGAGGGATATCATCAAGAGAACTGTTCCAGGCAACCAGGGATCGTGATCTGTGGAGACACATGGTCGAATATGCCAGTTGGCAGGGCACATGATGATGATGACGGTTTACTGTTAGAAATGTGCACATTCCAGTGCTTGTATTGAACATGTTGATGCTATTGATAATGTTTACTAATGCTTGATGTACAAATGAAAATGATGTGAGAAAAGCTGAAGAACACTGCTGTAAACAATACACAACTAACTCAACTAAGAAATCTAAGTGCAAAAGATGCACCAATTGATTAAGTCACTCACCTAAGATAAAGGCAACAGCCACTCCACTTACCTAAGATAAAGGCAACAGCCACTCCATTTACCTAAGATAAAGGCAACAGCCACTCCATTTACCTAAGATAAAGGCAACAGCCACTCCACTTACCTAAGATAAAGGCAACAGCCACTCCACTTACCTAAGATAAAGGCAACAGCCACTCCCCTCACCTAAGATAAAGGCAACAGCCACTTCACTCACCTAAGATAAAGGCAACAGCCACTGCACTCACCTAAGATAAAGGCAACAGCCACTCCACTTACCTAAGATAAAGGCAACAGCCACTCCACTTACCTAAGATAAAGGCAACAGCCACTCCACTTACCTAAGATAAGGGCAACAGCCACTCCACTTACCTAAGATAAAGGCAACAGCCACTCCACTTACCAAAGATAAAGACAACAGCCACTCCACTTACCTAAGATAAAGGCAACAGCCACTCCACTTACCTAAGACAAAGGCAACAGCCACTCCACTTACCTAAGATAAAGGCAACAGCCACTCCACTTACCTAAGATAAAGGCAACAGCCACTCCACTCGCCTAAGATAAAGGCAACAGCCACTCCACTCACCTAAGATAAAGGCAACAGCCACTCCACTTGCCTAAGATAAAGGCAAACAGCCACTCCACTCACCCAAGATAAAGGCAAACAGCCACTCCACTCACCTAAGATAAAGGACAACAGCCACTCCACTTACCTAAGATAAAGGCAACAGCCACTCCACTTACCTAAGATAAGGGCAACAGCCACTCCACTTACCTAAGATAAAGGCAACAGCCACTCCACTTACCTAAGATAAAGGCAACAGCCACTCCACTTACCTAAGATAAAGGCAACAGCCACTCCACTTACCTAAGATAAAGGCAACAGCCACTCCAAAACTGTTGATGCTGGTCACTATTGCTGTTGCTGTGACCCTTTCGTTGGGCGGAAACCACAAGGCTGAGATTTGAGGTATAGCACACATGGCAATTGGTCCAGCCAAGCCATTCAGCATTTGCCCCACATGTATCAGTCTGTGGGAGAAAGATGGTTTCGCATGAAAGCATTAGAGTTAGTAGTGAAAGTGGAAGTTAATAAATGTTGAATGTTGAATTAAGAATCATCATCACAGCACTTGGGATACTCACATGAGCGCTCCATCCCCATCTTTAGCAGCGAGTGAAGAGTTCCAATTCTGATCATACCAGTAACTGTACTTTTTGATTGTACATCTGACTCCCCTTTTCCTTGAGTGTCGAGAGTCTAGAAGATCACCTAATAACTCCCCGCAGCGCCATTTTCCTCAGACCGAAATGATCTATTTGTGCCTCAACACTGTTCAATCACTCTCAAAGGGTCCTCACAACATCTAGCTTGGCATACATCAATTCACCACCAAATAGTGCAGAACCGGCCAGTCTTCCTACCTGCTCATTTCCCAAACACTGGTATGACCTGAAGAAAATATCCAAAAGACGCTAACTACCCAGGACCTCTGAAGTGATGTTTGCCATTCTGCATGGAGCATGCCCGTCTCCACCTTTCCCAACATGTTCTGTGAATCAGTTACAATCACGACAGGTGTGTACAGCTGATTCTCAAGTCAGCGGAAGGCAGCAGTGACCTCCACCTCCATTCTCAAACCAGATGTTGTGATATCATATGCTAGACTTTGTTGCACTAAGCAACGTCCATTTGCTTTTGCCATGAACCCCTGTGCACCCTGTCTGCCCCTCAATACAGAGCTATCTGTATAGATAATCACATCACCTGCGCGGTAATTGTCATGAATCATTTGTTGAACTTCTGATTCTGCATCACCAGCTGGCCAGTCCCTGCACTCATGACCTAAAGTGAAAAGAACCCTACACAAGTCTGAAACTTGCTCTAACACTCTGACCCACTCCTTTCCTGATTATTTCTTTTGTTATTTGACACTCTGTTCTATGTGGATGTTTTTTTTCCCAAGTTCTTGTTAATAATGCTTGGGATTTTTCATTTTGTCCTCTTTTTAATCAACATCAATTATGTTGGGCTGATCATTGATGTGGGTGAAGAGGAGGAGGAGGAAGAGGAAGAAAAATAAAAAAGAAGAAGAAAAGGAAAAAGAATGGGGAAACAGAAAGTGTCCCATGTGTTTAGTCACAGGCACTGGTGACCATCCTTGTTAAGCATCCCACATGTTAAAAATAAAATATTAAAAACACTACCAACAAATCCATCAATTTAAATGATAGGGAAAACTTCAGGCCGATAACCTGATAGCTAATTGCAGACAATACTGACCCCCAAGTGCACACAGACTCATAAACTGGGTAACTAGGAAGATGGTACTATTAACTGGTACATTTACTTTGCTGATGATAATACAAAGGTCATGCTGTAAGCACGATCAACACATGCACGCGCACACACATATACACACACACAGATTAGTTTTACACATAGGATGCTAATTATGAGAGGGTTTGTGTGTGTGAGTGTGTGGGAGTGGGTGTGTGTGTGTGCGTGTGTGGTAGGAAAGGCAGAAAAGATAAACTGTGGAATATAATTAACTAGTTATGTAAAAGATGGCACTTCAGAGGTTGTGCATTACAACATCTCTTTCCCTCTCCTACACATGTCTGCATGCATGGATGGGCAGCTCTGTGTGTGTGTGTGTATGTGAGAGAGAGAGAGAGAGAGAGAAAGAGAGAAAGAGAGAGAGAGAGAAAGAGAGAGAGAACCGGGGGCTGGGGGCAGGGCTGCTAGAAAGAGAAATTATAAACTGTAACTAACTTGTTTCATGCTGTTACTTATTACAACAAAAAACTGAAATCTCTATCTATCTAATGTTCCCTCCACATAAATGTCTGTATGTGTGTATTAGGGAAGGTAGAAGAGATAATTTCTAAAATATAATTAAACACCATAAGTGTTGCTCTCTCTTCTCCCACTCTCTCCCCACAACTACTGTTTATCATTTCTCTCTCTCTCTCTCTCTCTCTCTCTCTGTATTTATGTGTTTGTGTGTGTGTGAGTGTGCGCACGGTGCGTACGTGCGTGCGCGACAAGGAAGGTAAAGTATATACATTGCTGAATATCTCCTTCTCCTTCTTTTTTCACTGGCTGTAATCTACGGCGGAAGGTCCTGATTATTCATCTACTTTGACTTTGGCTTTGTACCAGGGCCTGAGTTGTGCGTGTACATCCGTTTTACTGGCTTATTTATGTGCAGTTGGTTGTTCCTTGCCGCTCGGGCAGATGTACTCCACTTTGAAGGAAGCCCCTGATTGATTAGTCGACTCCTAGGACATGCTTGTTGGGGAGGCAGTGGGTCTACACTTCCTCCACCGCCAGTTTTCCCAAACTGGAAAACCCCACAACTCCAATTGGGGATCAGAGGAGAGAGGATCTTGTGTGGTGTAAAACGGTAAGAGAGTAATATCAACAGATGACATAAAACACTAAGAAGCAAGAGCTGGACTGCCTATACTGTTTGAGTTCAGTGAAGACGGCAGTTTAAAACAAACATACCATGAAGGAATCCAAGGAGAGTTTGGATGCAGGTGTATTCAGAAAACAATGCTACAGGCAAGGCTGATGTGCATTCTCAACACTTACATTAAAAAAACAGACACAGGAGCAACCTTCAAGTGATTTGGGGGTACAATTATTTGAACTTCTCACAAATACAAAGACAATAATGAAAAATTCATACAAACTGGTGTCCTGCGAGAAAAGAAATTCCCGGGGTAGAAAAAAGTTTGAGAAAGGTTGGCCTATACCATTTGGGCATATAATGATGAGAATTATCTCCTTCTTATTTTAGCAGGGGGTCTCCATGGCAAAGTGGTCAAGATGTCTGCCCCGCGCTCTGAAGGTATTTGGTTCGTTTCACAGCAGCGTCGTTCAGTTCACGAGTGCCATTTTTACGGAGACCCCTGGGGATTGTAGCCAGAGCTGCGGAGGTAGTGCTCTGTGTGATGCTCTCAGCAGGCAGCTAGCTGTTCTGTGGAGAGAGACTGAGCCATATGGGATAAAACCCAGTGCAATGAAGTCGATCCTCTCACTTTTACCTTTACTTGACTCTTATTTTAGCATTCTTCTTCTTCTCAAGTCCATGCCATGTGGCGTTGGTAGTCATGTCTATCCACAACCTTTTGCCTCGTGTACTTTTATGATGTCAGACTGTCTAACATTTGCTCTCTCTCTGTCTCCCTCTGTCCCTCCTCCCCTCTAACTTCCCTACTGTCACGATGTACTCCAGTTTTCTCCTTCTCATCACATGTCCAAAGAGTGTAGATTGTCTCTCTCTGATGTAGACATTCAGATCTTCATTACTCTTTTTATCTGTCCAGGGTGTTCCCATCATTCATCTATAAAACCACATCTCCGCAGCTTCCAAATAAATTTTCACTAATTTACCAACTTTCTAGCATTCACTGGCTGTAAACCCGGGCAGAAAGCTCGCCCACTCCTGGACTTTAATCTTCTGTCAGAATTCGAGTTTTGCATGCGGATCTATTTGACTCACTCTAGTCTATGATAATGATGAATGTTGATGCAGCTATAAATGATAGTAAACAGGAATGACTCACATAGTGGCAGGACCTGGTTCTGACGTGATTACTCTGAAGCCACAACCCAGAGTGATACAAAACATACTGCTCAGCGTTGCCCACCTCAGACCTGCCAACAGATTTCAGTAAAACATCTTCATCCTATATTTGTAAATAGTTAGTTGGTTTCATACACAATAAACAAGCTACTATTCGCAGATGATAAGTGCCTGTACTACAATGAGGGGGGTAGACTGCAAGACCATCTGAACAGGCTAAGTTCAACATGCAGAAGATATAACATGAAAATAAATACTACTAGTTGAGGAGTTGAGTCAAGAATTGACATCACAGCACTCGGGGCATTTCCATGCATGCTCCATCCTCATCTTCAGCAGCCAGGTCACAATCTGGTTATGTCCGTCTTGATTTTCCTCTGAGTGTAGTGATCCGGCCAGACCCTCTGGTTACACCCAGGTGCCTCATTCTCTCTAGGCCTAAATAATCTTCTATCCCTACTGATTCCGTTGCTTGTTCCCAGAGGGCCTTGACCACATCTGCCTTGTCATGTATCAATTCACCACTACATGCTACAAATACTACTAAAACTGAGGTAATGCAAATCAGCAGAATACTTATCAGGTTGAATGGTACTTGTCTGAAGAAAGTAATAGAATTTAAATATCTAGGAAGTATATTCTTTGAGGATGGGAGAAAACATTGGAAAACAGAAACAAAACAAAAAACGAGCCAGGGCACTTATATACCAACTGGCACCATTATTAAAGACATCTAAATCTCAGTGTCAGCAAACAAGAAACAAATTATAAACATAACATTCATACCAACACTGTGTTACCAGTGCCAGGCTTTGACATTATCAAAGGCTAACCTTCATAAATGAAAACCTTCAAAATTAGATGACAGAAAAGCTGCCAACTTGACCATCAAAGAAAAAGTTAGGAATGATTTTATCAGACTGTAGGAACTGCACCATAAAGCAAAATTTATTGAGAAACAGAAGATCAAATGATTTGGTCATCTAGTAAGAATGCACCAGAACAACTATCAACGTAGGGGCTACAGATGATAAGATCTAAAGTAAAATTAGGAGGCTGCCCTAGAAGAAAATGGATTGATGACATTAAAGAGCTTCTACATCGACACAAAATGACAATAGCCATTGCTACCCATCAAGCAATGGACTGCAAACTATTCCTCCCTATACCGCTTAACGGAAAAAGTAGAAAGTGATCAACAATTGATGATGATGAGTTAGTTAGTCGACAGATCATCTTCAATGCACATCGAACCATTCAGCAATAAGTGCTCAGAAACCCTCCTCAGTAAATCCTGCAGTGTGAAGTAGATGACAACACCAGTTCTGAATTGCTTTCTTATCCTTTTTTTGTGTGTGTGTGGCTTCCTGCATAGTGCTCTTGTCTGGCCACACCTGTGCATGTAAAAATTCCCTTGGCAGTTGCCCGGACAAAAAAATCTACCTAAAGTATTTCAGGAACCTCGCCCGTGCTACAAAGCCTGTGCACTGTGCTGAGCTTCTTCAGACACAGACTTGAGTTAGAAGAAAGAACGGATCACTTATGGGTTACTACCGGATCACTTATGGGTTACTACCGGATCACTTATGGGTTACTACCGGATCACTTATGGGTTACTACCGGATCACTTATGGTGTTGATCCGTTGTTCAAAAACTTTAAACTTCAAACTTCTTCTACACACATAAGCTGGACTCTGAAACTCACTACCATACTTCAATACTACAGAAAATCTTACTCAAGAATTACCTTTTGCATCCAACAGCCAAGGAAACAGTAATCCTGCAGCCACAAATGACACACAGCCCCAGTTGCTCAACCAGGCAATAGTTTCATCGGTCCAACCAAAAGCCTCCTCACACGTGGTGGATATGGGGCCCCAGGTGTTCCAGACAGCACTTTGTGTGAACCCAAACAGACTGTACATAACAAGCATGTACCATCTTCTCTTATATACCTGTTAAAAAGCCAGAATAGGCAAATTTATGTCAGCTTTTTTCTATCACACCCAGCAGGAGAGTTCACCTCATGAAAATCATAGACTATCAGATCATGAGGCCGGCCGAGGAGTTGTTAGTGAGATAATATACATGCGGACCCATAAACAAACACTTGGGGACATTGGAAAGAGAACCCACTACAGAATGAACAAACTTTATTTTCAAAGGGTTAAGAATAGGACACACAGGCCCATCTAACATTCTGCCCTTCCACTCCGATCCTTACATAAAGTTATTAATTCGTACCTCATTTCATAATTAATAACGACAATAATAATGAGAAGAAGTTTCCAACATTTATTCTTAATTACACACACTGGAATGTGCTCTAATTATACTGACATTACTGTACATTTTAAAGAATGTAGTAATAAGCCTATTCTAAAAATGATATAAGTCTTAAAAGTTGCATAATATAGATGAAGACAGGAGAATGGTAAATGCAGCGATTAACTTCAAAAGCTTATGGTGCTGAAGAATAAGGAGAAGGAGGAGAAGACGAAGAAGAAGGAGACAATTAAAAAAAGCTTATAAAGATAACTACAACCCAGACAGTGCCAAATTTACACTGACTGAAGCGCATAAAGATTAGTGTAAGATAGTGCCAAATTTAAATTCACTAAAGCCCAAAAGACTACTACAAGACAGTGTCATATTTAAACTCACTGGCCAATAAAAATTACCTCAAGTTATGCCAGATTTACATTTAGTACAGATTACAAAAAATATGTCATGGCAACAGGAAAGTTGAAGGAAAAGAGAGACTGAGAGTGACCAAGAGAGAAGATAGCGGACAGCTTAACATCAAGATATGAAAGAGCATCTGTTTCAGTAATAAACAACAGAACAGGAGATGGAAGACTGTGAACATGGAAGACTGTGAACATGGAAGACTGTGAACATGGAAGACTGTGAACATGGAAGACTGTGAATAGACAAGACTGCCAACATCATACAGCACAGACTGAAAGGAGAAGAAAGGGTTCTATTTCATTTTCTGGCCCAGAAAGAGAGTTACTTCCTTTGCCATTCATGAATTGCAGTGTCAATAATATCAACTCTGCTTCTTCCCGTTTACACTGGTGCATTACTTGCCAGCTGATTAGCTCTTTCATTACCATTTATGCTTTTTATGCATTTGGAGCACAGATTACGTGTAACGATTTTATGAAGCATGTTCATAAGAGTCTGAAACAATTACCGCATGTTTGGTCATTTTTTCTGCCACCCATGTGAGTGCTCTGGAAGCAGTAGTTAGAAAAATATGTGTCAAGCAACATATACTTAGTGTGCTAGTGGGGTTAACTCTTTCAGTCCCATGTTAGACAGTGGGCATTTCTTAATCCTCTTTCCCTGCAGACAGTTGTTGTTACAATAGCACTTCTTCATTTCTTCTTTTACCCCTTTGGGTGTTGAGGAACAAATAAGAGATTCTGTTTCTTGCTCTTCTGGCCGCCTTGACCACAGACACATTCTGCTGTTGTAGATTCTCTCTGATGTTATCTTTCCATTCTGTTTTTGGTCCACCTCATGCTCTACATCCATCTCCTCTTTGGTGTATGTCTTGTATGGTATGGCATCACAAGGGATTCTTTCCAAGTGGGCAAACCATTTCTTCTTCTTCTTTCGTTCGCCCGGCAAACCATTTGATTTGCTGTCTTTGTGTTTCGCAATGGGTTCTGTGTCGACTTTTTTTTTCTTATGACCTCATTGCTGATTTGATCTCTTCTGGTCCCTTCTGCAGCTTTTCTCAGACATCTCATTTCCATTCTTTCTTATTTTGTTTTATGGTTTGCTGTGAGTAACCACTAACTCACTGATCTGAATTGTTAGTTTTATTCCTTGTTTCTGGCAGTGCTATTAATATATAATCTCTCAAGACTCTTCTTTTTCTTTCTCTTCTTTGCGTTTAGTTTTGAATGCTAAGATCAGACAATCAGATGGGTTTCCTCTACGAACTCACATCTCAGCAGCAGGTCCTTTGTAGTTCCCCATAGCTTGCTGTGAACACACTTTGCTCCTGAGATGAGGTTTCTTTTTGAAGTAGTAGGTAGAGTGGGCAGGTCTGCAGAATGTGCTCAGGTGTTTGTGGTCCTCCAGGCACACTGTGGGGACTGTACAGTCTTTATTGTATGCATGTGATCGCTGCGCCTGCAGTGTCCTGTTCGTAGATTCTCAACACTCAAATACTGGCTATTTTACACCGAAATATCTCATGACATAACAAGCTAAAGTAAATAAAGGCTAGTGTCGAACGAATTAAAAGTGTCCTTTGGCCTACTTTACAAGTGAACAACACAAATTAAATTCAACTGAACACTTTTACTGATTACGTTTTAATAATTACATTATCATTTCTGCTTGACCTGGTCCCTACCGGGTGACTCCTAGATAATAATGAAACAACACCCAGATATGATATGCCAACTGTGAAATAAAATCAGAAATGAGGTCACCGGAGAACAGATCAGCATAGAATTAGTATTCAGTTACATACACAGACACTTGAGTTGAGTTAACAACTGTCATCTCGAGACATTCCCAAAAGCGCTGCATCCCAGTGTTTCAGCAGCCAGAGAAGAGTTCAAACTCTGTCAGGCGGCCCTAAATCCTCAGGCTCAAGACCATCCACACTATCCTTATCCACACTGTCCTTAAAAGTGGTAAAATAGATAGCAGTGATAGTATCATCACCTTTGTAGACACTATGGAAAAGTACAGGTATTATAATCTAAACAAAAAAGCCCTAATTATAACCACAAACAACAAAATGATAACAGGCCTTACATGGAAACGAGGTCCTGGAGGAAGCTTCTCCAAAAGTGGTCCATTGCTGGCATATTTACCATCACCTGATGAGCAAACAAACGTCTTATGTGTGTCTGTATTAATCTAATCTTGTTAGACTATTGCCTCCACACAAAAAAAGTATTTTATGGGGAGCTCCAGCAAGGGAAGAGGTTTCAGGGAAGACAGAAAAAGTAACACTCTCAAAGCTGCTCTTAATTCTTTTGACATCACCACAGCATCACAGGAGGCTGCTGCACATGACCGTTCTGGATGGTGTACATCCCTCAGGCATGCAGGACTGCCAATGAGACTTTTTTGAAAAACCCAGCTAAGCTGAACAAAAACCCAAGCAATAATAAGCAAAGAACAAAAAACAAAATAAGAAACCCAGATTGTTAAAAATTACAAAATTTATAGTTACGAAATGAAACATTTACCCACTTTTATAAAAGGATTTTTTTTTTTTAAACCCAGATTTTAAACTTTAAACCCAAGGTGTCAAATAAAAACCCAGATCTGGGGTTAAAAACTCAGCATTGGCACCCAGGGGGGCATGGGGCATCAGCCTGCTAGGCAGCATAGGTTGCACAGGCAGAGACACCGAGGCAGACTATTAAGAACCGTATCGCTAATCCCATGCCCTCTGTGGCTTTCATCTGCTGTCCGCACTGCTCAAGAACTCTCCAGGCTCATATTGGACTAATCAGCCACCTTCACAATTATAATCATTGATAATTACTACTTTGCATGAAAAGTGGTCTTCACCACTCATGATCGACGAACAACAACAATTTTCAGTTCAGCTTCTTCTTTTTTCCTCTTGGCATTCACCGGCTGTAAACTCCAGTGGAAAGCTATGGTTCTCTGTCCACTTGAGTTTTGCATGCACATCTGTTTTACAGATCTGGCTTATTTGTATGGGCTGTTGGTCCCTTGCCTCAGGGACAGGCAGACTTACTCCAACTTTATCAAAATCAGTTCAGCCATTTAGGGTTATTACCTTTAAAAGATATTTTCAGCATATGAAAAGATATGCATTACACATGCATTTAACGCATAAGACAGCCATCCGAAGTGCCAATATAAACAGTCCAGCACTAGAAATGCAGTTCATTGTTGCAGAAACAGAAGTTATAACAGATCACTAGTTGCACATGCAACTAATCGCACAAGGCACCACTAGTTCTCTGGCAAACAGGTCACTCGCCATTTTCTCAATCTGCAGTTCACAACACAAACCACGCTGGGCCTAGTCAAAAGTAATTCAAAATAAAATGAGAAGCTCACAGTGTTGCACCATTCACTCAACTCAGCAGCTGGGCGATGGAACTATATTCTTTCAGTCTACATATTGAGAAAAATGCAACAGCTAAACATTTTCACGAACTAGCCATGACTTTTAACAGTAAGCCGGCCTATCCACCATAGTGGTTGGAAGTCTCTTGCAGGTCCTGTCTCTGTGCTGCCTAATGTGCCCAACCCTCATAGATGCCCTGCATGATTTCCCTTAACATACTACTAGGTTTGAGGTTTGAGGTTTTGAACAACGGATCAACATCATGGCAACGGGTAGTAACCCAATTAACCCATAAGGGGGAATAACTAGAAGTCCAAGTAAACGTGAAAAAAATCCCAAACCTTACCAGGGATTGAACCCGGAACCTCCAGCACTTGAGGCAGACATCATGCCTCGTGACCACACAGCCCTCTAACCTACTACCAACATTCTATTTCCTTGTACTCTGAGCAGATAACTGTATAGCCAAAACATTTTGTCCACACACAAAATCTGACCATTTTTTGTGCAGTGCAGGCTGAAGGGTCTTTGAGACTGAGAATTTACAGCAGCATGGCTAGTGCTGTCACCATGGACGTTGTTGTTGTTGTTGTTATCGATCCAGCAGCGCATGAGCTTTCGCCCTTTAGCCCAATGCCATGTAGTAGAATTTGCATGTTTTCACAAGCTGTTCTTTTCCTCCGTACAAGGTGTTCCACTTGTCTGGTCTCAGAGGGAGTCGCATTCTTCTAGTCTCGCTGAGTTTTGGGCACTCAAAGAGATGGTGGTCAACAGTTTCGTAGGGGTAGTCACATAGCTGGCACTCTGGGGAGTGTTGTGGCTGTATTCTGTTTAGATGTCCATTGAGTGTGCAGGCAAGAATTTTACTTTGTACCCCTGACAGACAAAACAATCCTAAAACTGAGAGGATGTGACCGCAGATCTCCTGTTTCAGAACCCTTGATTCTGAGTGGTTTGGCCAGCCGCTTCTTTACTTCTACACTCACATTTAAAAGGGCAGTTGGCATATTGTGTTGTGGTTTACAGCTAGGCGGCATTATCTGCACCTTTTGGCCCGACACATCTTATTTCAACAAACTCCTAATTAGTTGTCTTTTGCGACATGCTTGCTAAATTTTGAATTAAGAATTGACATCACAGCACTCATACACTCCCATAAGTGCTCCATCTCCAATCTTCAGCAGCAAGCCAAGAGTTCCAATTCCGAATGTACCAGTCACCGTCTGGGTTAGGAATTGGGCACACAGGCCTGTCTTGCCTTTTCCTCTGCTGTTGAAGCATCGGCCAGATTCCCTGGTAACTCCTCGCAGCGCAATTCTCCTCAGACCATGATGATCTACTTGTGCTTCCTCACCGTTCACTCACTTCTAAAGGACCTTTACGATATCAAGCTTGTCATTCATCAGTTGGTGCAAAACCGGCCAGTCTATCTGCCTGCTTGTTTCTCAACACACTAGTACGACCTGAAGAAAATATGCTAACTACCCGAGACCTCTGAAGCTATGCTTGCTATTCTGCATGCAGCATGCCTGTCTCTACCTTTCTCAACATACTGTGTGAGTCGGTTACAATTATGACATGCATGTACAGCTGATTCTCAAGCCAGCTGAAAGTGGCAGTGACATGCGCAGAACCCACACAAGGGACCAAAACACCTACGTGACAACTCACCCGTTTTGTTAGCAGAAGCTGGCACTGCCAACGGAGAGGTAGACAAACTGTCATGACAGGAATCATAGTTGACTCCATCAGCGCTCTCTGTGTCAGAATCATGATGGCTGTCAGATGGAAGGAGTGGCTGTTTGGCTTCATTGTCCTCCATGATTAGTCAGCCAGTTACTTAAGAAGACAGAATAGAACATGTTCATAAAAAAAACTCTTTCTTTTCCAAGAGATGCTTCGAACACAGGTTTAGAAGAAATATCAGAGACACTAAGTCTTAGTCGAGGTTTCCCTATACTTGCTCCGTTCCTGTGCCAGTAAAAATCAAATGAAATGTTTCTCACTGTTGCATCTGAAAACCCAGAAAAGCAGTTTAATGGAAGTAGTTGGGCACAATAAGTTAGCTATACACACGTAAAATTTTAACATAAGGTATTTCACCAGCTTATACATAAATCGGCTGCCGGCCATATTGAATACCACAATACAAACAAGGCATGAGACAGGAAAAACACAGCTAAGAGGGCTCCAGCAAGCACTAAACTCAGTAGCTCAAGCAGCAAACCCGTAGACTTCCATCCATATGTGGAAACTGCATTAGCAAAGTGCTGTCGGAGCAAAAATAACTTAAAAGCTCAACATTTTGCCATTGCCTAATCCTCCATTTTTGGCCGGGACACTGAAAAGTACTATATATGAAGAGAACAGAAGGGCCAATTCCATAGACCACTTCCCCCCCTGGCGCTGCGAGGCACTCCAGGAAAAGAGAAAGAAGCAGGAGACAGGTTTCGTACATGCCAAGAAAAAACTGACCTTACTGTAAACTCTTGTAGAAAGTTCTGGTTGTTCATCCACTTCTGGACTTTGATCTTGTTCAAGAACTTGAGTTTTGTATGCACATCCGTTGTACAGATATGGCTTATTTGTAGGCAGACTACTGGTTCCTCGCCTTTCAACAAAGATGAGCTCTGAGTTTGGAGGACAAACCCCTAAGTAGTGCCCTTTTACGGCAAGCTTCTAGGAGAGGTAGTGGATCTGTTTTTTTCCCTTCAACAGGAAGCTCTGGAACCCAAATCAGGAATCTCTTTATATTCCAAGCACTTCACTAAGCAAAGGATTCAGTCAGTGCCATGTTTCTTCTTCTTCTTCTCCTTCTTCTTCTTCTAAAAGGGTGAGTGGTATGTTATGTTGTGGTTTACACCTAGGCTCTGATATCTGATAGCTTGCAGATTTATTATCTTTTACTTTCCTTAAGGTATCTGGTAACACTGTAACATATTCAATGATCAAGTAAAGAATAACTCAACTGCCCAATGGTCAAGTAAGGAGTAACTCAATGGTATATGATTAAGGAAGGAAAAGCTCACTGACGTCAATATTCAAATAAATTCAATAAATAACTCAATGGTCAAAGACTAAGAAAGGAGAAACTCACTGGTGAATGCACAAAGATAAACCCACTGGTCAATGATTAAGTAAGGAGTAACTTACTGGTCAATAATAAACTAATAAGTACTTACTGGTCAATTATCATATATTAATTCACTGGTCCGCCTGTCTGTCACCGGGGCCCTCACGGGAAGCAAAGAATAGTGACACTGCACCCTACCAGGCATGTCGTAAGAGGCGACTAAGGGTAGGGTTGGGCTTGAGGTTGGCTACCTCATCCTGTAAAAACCATAGCCACAAAAACCAACCAACTATGGATAAGTTAAAAAGAAAAGCAAGTAAAATCCAGATGAGGGGAGGCTCTTCAAATAGAAGAAGTATGACACGGTGTGGAGAAAGTCGTAAGGAGTCCAGATTGGGAGGACATGGGGAGAGCTCCATGCAATGGCGAAAGATAGAACGACTTGGCGTGAGTTGGTTGAGGGCCTATGCTCCATTGGGGGATAAAAAGGCAGAAGAAGAAGAAGAACTCACTGGTCAATGATGATATATTAACTGACTGGTCAATGATCATATATTAACTCACTGGTCAATGATCATATATTAACTCACTGGTCTATGATCATATATTAACTCACTGGTCAGTGATCATATATTAACTCACTGGTCAATGATCATATATTAACTCACTGGTCAATGATCATATATTAACTCACTGGTCAGTGATCATATATTAACTCACTGGTCAATGATCATAAATTAACTCACTGGTCAATGATCATATATTAACTCACTGGTCTATGATCATATATTAACTCACTGGTCAGTGATTATATATTAACTCACTGGTCAATGATCATATATTAACTCACTGGTCAATTGTCATATATTAACTCACTGGTCAATGATCATATATTAACTCACTGGTCAATGGTCATATATTAACTCACTAGTCAATGATCAAGTAATGAATACTTACTGGTCAATGATCAAGTAAGGAGAAACTTGCTTGTCAATGATCAAGTAAGAAGAAACCCACTTGTTAATAATCAAGTAAGGAGAAACTCACTGGTCAATAATCAAGTAAGGAGAAACACATTGGTCAGTCAGTCAGTCAGTAGCATGTCCTTTGCAAAACCTTCTCCCATAATAACCTTCTGGAAAATTTCTCGATCACAACCAAGATGTCCCGCTTTTGATACATCCCTCTGGAGATCATCCACTCATCTTCTCTTTGGCCTTCTGCCTCTTCCTCTCCTCCCATGTTCACTGGTCAATGACCAATAAAGGAGAAACTCACTGGTCAATGACCAAGTAAGGAAAAACTCACTAGTCAATGGTCAAGTAAGGAGAAACTCATTGGCCAAAGGTCAAGTAAGGAGAAACCCACTGTTCAATGATCAAGTAAAGAGAAACTAACAGGCCAATGACCAAGTAAGAACTCACTGGTCAATGATCAAGTAAAGAGAAACTTAAGCTTGTCAATGATCACGCAAGGATAAACTCACACTAGTCAATAATCAAGTATTTAGTAACTCACTGGTCAATGATCAAGTATTGAGTAACTTACTGGTCAATAATCAAGCATTTAGTAACTCACCAGTCAATAATCAGTATTCAGTAATTCACTGGTCAAAAATCAAGTATTTAGTAACTCACTGGTCAAAAATCAAGTATTTAGTAACTCACTGGCCAATTATCAAGTATTTAGTAACTCACTGGTCAAAAATCAAGTATTTAGTAACTCACTGGCCAATTATCAAGTATTTAGTAACTCACTGGACAATGACCAAGGAAAAGTAACTTACTGGTATACTGAAGAAATACTGAAAAATTGTCATTAGTCCATGGACAAATGGAGTAAGAATTCCATCATCAGTTTTAGAGTACTAAGTGTAAAATTCATTCTAGAACAGCAAATGCTAACAAAAATGATCCTTTCTAGAATGGCAGAGGTTAAAAAAAATGATCCATTCTAGAACAGCAGAAGCTAACAAAAATGAGGTTTGAGGTTTTAAACAACCAATCAACATCAAGGCACACGGGTGTAACCCATAAGTGCTCCGTTCTTCTTCTAACTCAAGTACGAGTCCGAAGAAGCTCAGCACAGTACAAAGGCTCTGTAGCACCGGCAAGGATCCTGAAATACTTTGGGTAGATTTTTAACTTCAAATTTTGCATGGGCAGCGCCGTTAGGCTACTCTTTTTGATTTTCAACTGCCAAGGGGTTTTTTACGTGAGCAACAATGCACACAGGCGTTCGATCTCACTACCTAGAGACCAGGGGGAATTACTAGAAGTCCACCTGAAAAAATCCCAGCCATATCGGGAATTGAACCCAGAACCTCCAGCACTCGAGGCGGACACAATGCCTCGAGACCACGCAGCCCTCCCCCCCCCCCTCCCCCCCAACAAAAATGATCCATCTTAAAAACAGCAGAGATTAACAAATATGATTCAACCTAGGACAGCAGGAGTTAACAAATATGATCCAACCTAGGACAGCAGGAGTTAACCAACATGGTCCAACCAAGGACAGCAAGAGTTAACAAACATGGCCCATTTTAGGACAGCAGGAATTAATTAAAAAAACATTCCTAAGACATATGTACTCAACACACAAACCCAATGTCAGTTTTCCTAAAAAACAAAAAACACAAATCTACACACCAGCCGCTTCTTCATCAGTCATATGTCTAGTCACATGTTCTCATTTTGTGAAACACAACGTCAGTACTTGACACAGGGTGAACTTCATTACAACATATCCACTAAAGTAGATAACAATAAAGTTTCAGTCTAAGTCCTGTTATCAATATCTTGTCATAAATAGGTAAGATGTGCGTACTATGGCAAATAACTTGCAGTACAGTAACTTCCTTTAAGGACTTGCTTCGATGACGTGTGGCTACTGAGGTCCCATTTTCAGGGACAAAAAAACAAACAGACCTTGCAAATACAAGCATGTCATAAAAGGCAACAAATGGGTGTGTGGTTGAAAGGTGCAGATATCGTAGCCTAGCTGTAAACCCCAACAAAATGTGCCAATGATACACTGTAGGGAGAAAGCAACAACAACAAAGAAGAAATGACAAAAACACATTTAAATCAATGAGTACAAATGAATACATGAAAACATATGAATGAATAAACATAAATGAATGAATAAACAGATGAATGAATTACTACAGATGAATGAACACAGATGAATAAATGAAAGAATGAATGAACAAATGAATGAATTAACACATATAAATGAATGAAGAAACTTCCTTTAAGGACGTGTGGCTACTGAGGTCCCATTTTCAGGGACAAAAAACAAATAGACCTTGCAAATAAAGGCATGTCATAAAAGGCAATAAATAGGTGTGTGGTTGAAAGGTGCAGATATCGTAGCCTAGCTGTAAATCTCACCATTAAAGGATAAATTGAGAATCAACATCACAGCACTCAGAACACTCCCATAAGTGCTCCATCCCCATTCTCAGCAGCAAGCGAAGAGTTTCAATTAAGAAGGTACCAGTTACCGTCTGTATATCCGTCTCAACCTTCCCCCGAGTGTTGAGCGTCCGCCAGATCCCTTGGTAACTCCTCACAGCGCTACTCTCCTCAGACTTTAATGATCTATCTGCTCCTCCTCACAGTTCACTCATTCCCAAAGGGCCCTCACAATATCTAGCTTGTCATACATCAAGTAACTGAAATTTAAATATCTCACAGAAAATAATTGATTCATGTTATTCTTTTTTAAAGTAAAAGAAAGCAGAAGAA